AAGCAAAGCCTGGCCACCCTTGGTGCTGTTGTCTTTATGGCTATGTAAACTCATGGATGAGGTTTTATATTATACCCATACACTGAGGTCACATTTCCCCGGTTAAAAACCCTTCCTAGTTTATGCAATCAGGGTTGCAATGTCTCTTCAAAGTGCAACAGAAATGGACAAATTGGAGAATTATGTCCTGTGACCCACCGTTGGGCCCCTTGAACCTGCCCGGGTGCTTCAGGGCCTCCGTTCCGTCCGGATCAGCACAGCAGCTCTGCACGGAGCCTCTGAAGCCCAGTAGGCTAAAGTCCCCAGCCACGGTGGTTTCAGGAAGGCTGCCGGGGCTCAACTGGGCTTGGTTTTTCCTCTCCTTCAAGCAATTCCCGGCTCTTATTTAGTTTTAAATTAAATCAAAATTGCAGCACATGGACTTGAATTAAAACAAGAGGCCCGATCTTTGTAATATGTGCCACATCAATAGGAAAGCTAATTTGTGCAAAGCACATCCCCTCCTTTAATTTAAACCACAGAGCTCCGCTTCTCCGGTTTCAAGGGAACTGAGAACTGGGCAGGGCAGCTCACCCCAGGCACTAACTAGGGCTGTGCTGAGAGGGACAGGAACAGTTTCAGGGGAGCTTAGCGGTCCTCTTAAGCCCTTTGTGCTGGGTGTCACATGATACAGCAGAGTAGTTGTGAACTCCTGGCCTTGAATTTAAAGAAGGTCTGAAAACGTCTCAGGGTAAACTTCCCCAGCTGACTCGTAACTGCAACCTAGCTACCAAAAACAGAATTTGCGTTATTAAAAGCTTCTCAAGGCAAATGAGGCAGAGAGACCACACTGCTCCTGACCTTGAGACCTCATTTTAAGGTTCCAAGGCTGCATGTGTGTGGATTACTAGACTACACAAAACCAATCGGGTAGGGTCTGTGCTAGGTGAGAAATTCAATCTGGGTCCTGACAGTTGCTTCGCTCAGTTTAACTGGCTCTAGAGGCCAAAGGTGGAGACGGGGTGGGGGTGGGGTAGGGGGGTGCGGGGCGGGGAGGGCACGGGGTGGTGGACGTGGCAGTAAGGTCATCCATGAACAATGTGTGCTTTGCTCAAAAACATTCCTGTACCCCACCCATCTACACAGCTCCACACCTCGCTTCAGTGCTCACTGCCGGTAGTGTGTGCTCCCCACCAGGAGGTAAGTAATAAGCAGCTGGATCCCTCTGCAAACTGTCACCTCCAGGGGCATCCAGATTTGGAAACAGGTCTCATTCAGGTTTTATGGGGCCTGAAACTTACACATTTTTGGATCCTCTTTAAGAAAAATGATACAAAAACACCTTTCACAAATTTCATATACCATTAAGACACACCGCTAGCGCCCATCCCAGGGTCTTGGAAGGGGGACACGGGGTGCTGAAAAATGAAACTTCTTTAACTTTACAAGTAAATCCACTTCTGCTTGAAATACATCACCAGTTCTCTACCTGCCCAGTGCAAAAAGGCATGCACAAGGTGAGGGTAAAGGTGATGGAAAAGGCTTTGTCAAACAGTAGGTGTAATTGACCAAGACAGAAGTTCTGGTTCTTATTTGATTGGTCTTTGAACCATCTGTGGTGCATGGGCTTAGGGAACCAAGCTTGGCCCAAAGCCAAGTTCTCTCTCTTAGGCTGCAAGCCACCTTAAGGGCAGGGTTCTCATCGCTGTCTTTGTTCACCCAAACGCCTACCCAAGAGAGCCTGTCAGGGAGTGTCTGCTGAATGAGTAGCTGGGTGACTGATTGAGGGATTGTGTAAATAAATTCACGCTCCCATTTTAGATCGAGGGTCGTTGTTGTTTATCTTCTCCAGAGGACTCTTTGAAAAATGTTTTAAGTTATGTAAAGAAAGGCTCCATCTAAATTTATTAGTGAAGCATGGACAAATAGTTTCCACCAGAGAGCTTCTAAACTTATCCTTCTTACTGGATGACCAAAACCACTCTAGACAGAATTAAGAACATTAAACGACATTATAATGCAAATATTCTTTAAGGGGTTTGGCTGTTTCTTCTGGTTGCAGCAGCTGTTGTGCCCACACACCCAGAAAAGACTGGACAGTGTGATATTTGATCTGCTTTTTCACTTCCTCCCCAGGCTTACATTACCTTACGTTGACCTTTTAAATTCTTTACTTCCTGGCAAATATATTTAAAACTTTAGGTCCAGAGTGAGGTATGGCATATCAGAATTCATGCAGAAAATCAAAGCCCAGTCTGAACCATTCTCTTTTGAAGAAAAATACTGCGCTGCACATGGTGAACTCCATTGGTCCTTCCTACACTCTGAAGGGGGTCAGTGGGTGCAGTGTAGAACCTGAGCCTATGGCTGGGAGGGGTGTCACCCACGTGTGTGGTTTACTGTGAACAGGATCGGGGTCAGGTTTGCATGAGAGACATGTTAAGACATGCTGGAGTTGGCCTGGGCTAGGAAGGGCATGGGTTTTGATTTAACTTTTGTTCTCATGACCTTGAAGTTGTGTCAAGACAGATGAGAAGGCTCTAAATTCAAAGTCAGGAGGCCTGGGTTCAAGTCTCAATTTCATCTCTTATGAGTTGTCAGATCGTGAGCAAGGTACTCCAAAACGCTCCATGTCTTTCTCTCTCTCTTTCTTTTTTTTTTAATCTGCAGGAAGAGACCAAGAGCACCTATCTTATCTTGCCCTGGCTATGAGTCTCAAAACATTACCCACAAAAGGTCTTAGAAAGGTATAAAGTGACTTTGGAGTTGAGCATCTATGATTCCATTCCATAACCATGTAACATTACAATCTCCTCATTTTTAAGAAGACAGCTTTTTAGTGGAAAATCCAATGTTCTTAATGCTAGGAACTAGCAGATGGATATTCCCTTGAATTAAACTATTAACGTCAATCCCATTAAAGTGATGGGGTTATTATTTTTCTTCTAGAGGATGAAGATGATCTAGAACAGGGCCAGATAGTAAATATTTTAGGTTTTGTGGGCCGTACAATTTCTGTTGCAACATTCGCCTCTGGTTTTATAGCACAAAAAGCAGCCACAGACAATATGTAAACAGCGGGGTATAGCTGTGTTCCAACTTTAGTTACGAAATTCCTGTGGGCTAGATTTGGTTCAAAGGCCATAGTTTGCTGACTCTCTGATTTAGGATATCATAAAGGTATCACCGAATCCTGGGCTTCCTCACATCCCCTGGTCATACACACCATACTGCTGGCCTCAGTTTTTAATGCAGCTCCAATCCAACAGCTAAGCAAACATAGAAGGTGCCAAATCCAGAAAACCACCAAGCCACGAGGTTATTTGGGCAGACACTTCACATCCCAACATGGCTATCTAAACCTTGCACTTCTCTCACAATCTTCTTTGTAAAAAAAAAAAAAAAGCATTGTTTAAAATATAATCTCCAAGTTTTAAAAATAAACCACCATTCTCCAGAGTAAAGCTACTGATATTTTGATGGGAAAGAAGGAAAAGTGCTTCCCAACTCCTAGAAATGTTTTGCAAAAATGCAACCCACTGCCGACTTCTTATTTATGTGATCCAATTTGCCTTTTGCTTTCCCACAATGGAGTCAATCATTACCAAAGTTCATCACTGCTCTAAGTCAAAGATCACCTATCGGTACGAATTATCCTCTGTCTGACTCCCTCTCTCACCCCGCCGGCATGTATGGAAATGTAGAGAAGCACTGTCAGAGGCCTACAGAAGGACATTTTTAAACTCTGGGTCTCCATTTGCCAGTACTTGATTAAATGACTCATTCTCAGCCTGAGAGCTCCCACCCTTTACTGTGTGGAACAGGCTAGGAGGGACCTGAAGGTGAAACAAGCCTTTTATTCCTACTAAAAATGTGGATTTGGGACACTTAGTTGGGTTTGAGGTGAAGTCTCACAGACCTGGGTTTAGGGATGAGTTCATCCTTGGCCAAGTTACTTGACCTCTTTGAGATCCTGAACCTCAGTTTTTCCATATACAAAATGGGTTAATATGTGCTTTATAGGATTGATATATAGTGAGTGGCAAACAGCAGATATTCAATAAATGACAGTTTTCCTCACTCTTTTCATATCTCC